TATGGAACATTTTCCAGGATAGACAACATGTTAGGCCACAAAATAAGTCAATAAAGTTAAGAAGACTGAAGTTATATGAAGCATCTTCTCTGATCAGAGTAGCATGAAACTAGAAAGGAATTAGAAGAAGAAAATTGAAAAACAAATACGTGGAGCCTAAATAACATGCTACTAAACAATAGGTTAACAAAGATCAAAGAAGAAATCAAAGATACTTGAGACAAATGAAAATGAAAACACAATGATCCCAAATCTGTGTGGCACAGCCAAAGTAATTCTAAGAAGAAAATTCTTAGCAATAGAGGCCTAACTCAATAGACAAGAAAAATCTCAAACTAACATTATACATAAAGGATCTAGAAAAACAAGAACAAAGCCCAAAATGAGTAGAAGGAAGGAAATAATAAAGGTCACAAAGGAAATAAATGAAACAGTAGAAAAAGATCAATGAAACCAAGAGCTGGTTCTTTGAAAAGATAAAGTGGAGAAACCTTTAGCTAGACTCATCAAGAAAAAACAAGAGAGGGCCTAAATAAAATCAGAAACAGAAGAAAAGTGACAGCCAACACCACAGAAATAGAAAGGATTATAAGAAAATACTATGAACAATTATATGCCAACAAATTGGACAACCTGAAAGAAATAAATTCCTGGAAACATACAATCTTCCAAGACTGAATTAGGAAGAAAAAAATTTGAACAGACCAATAACTACAAACAATATCAAATCAGCAATCCAAAAAACTTCCAACCAAAGTCCTGGACCAGATGGCTTCACAGGTGAATTTTACCAAACATTCAAAGAAGAATTAATACCTTTTCCTCTTAAACTATTCCAAAAAATTGAAGAGGAGGGAAGGCTCCCAAATGCATTTTACAAGGCCAGTATTACCCTGATACCAAAACTGGACAAAGACATGACAACAATGAGAATTATAGCCCAATATCCCTTATGAACGTAGATGCAAAAATTCTTAATGGTAGCAAACCGAATTCAGCAATAGATTAAAAAGATCATACACCATAATCAAGTGGGATCTATTACTGGGATGCAAGGTTGGTTCAATATCTGCAAATCAATCAATGTGATATACCCCATGAATAAAGTGAAGGGTAAAAATCATATGATCATATCAATACACACAGAGAAAGCATTTAACAAAATCCAACATCTATTTATGTAAAAACTCCCAGCAAAGTGGGGATAAATGGAACTTACCTCAACATAATAAAGGCCATATATGACAACCTACAGCTAACATCATACTCAGTGTTGAAAACCTTTTTCTTTAAGATCAGGAAAAAGACAAGAATGTCTACTTTCATGACTTTTATTCAACATAGTATTAGAAGTCCTGCGCACAGCAATCAGACTAGAAAAAGAAATAAAAGGCATCTGAATTGGAAAGGAATAAGTAAAACTGTCATAATTTGCATTATATATAGAGCACCCTAAAGATTACACCAAAAAACTATTAGAATAAATAAATTTAATAAAGTAGCAGGATACAAAATTAATATTCAGAAATTGGTTGCATTTTTATGTACCAGTGATCGACTATCAGAAAGGGAAATCAACAAAACAATTTCAATTACAATTGCATCACATAGAATAAAATACCTAGGAATAAATTTAATGAAGGAGGTCAAAGACCTTTATTCAGAAACCTATAAGACATTGAAAGAAGAAATCGAAGAAGATACAAATAAGTGGAAGCATATACCCTGCTTACAGAAAGGAATTAGCATCGTTAAAATAAACATACTACCCAAAGCACTCTACAGATTCATTGTAATCTCTTATCAAAATACCAATGGCATTTTTCACAGAGCTAGAAAAAGTGATCCTAAAAGTTGTATTGAACCACAAAAGACCCCAAATAGCTAAAGCAATCTTGAGAAAGAAGAACGAAGTTGGAGGTATCACGCTGCCTGATATCTAATTATACTAAAAGGCTATAGTAATCAAAACAGCATGGTACTGGCATGAAAACAGACATGTAGATCAGTGGAACAGAACAGAGAGCCCAGAAATAAACTCACACCTATATGGTCAATTAATCTATGATAAAGGGAGGATGGATATACAATAGGGTAAAGACAACCTCTTCGATAAATGGTGTTGGGAAAACCAGACAGATACATGCAAAAAAAAAAAAAAAAAACTAGACTACTTCCTTAGACCATATACAAGAATAAACAAAATGAATTAAAGATGTAAATGTGAGAAGACCTGAAACCATAAAACTCCTAAAAGAAACCATAGGCAATAAACTCTGTAACATCAATCTTAGCAATATTCTGTTTCCTCAGGCAAGGGAAACAGAAGAAAAAATAAACAAATGAGACTACATCAAACTAAAAAGTTTCTGTGCAAAGAAGGAAATCATCAATGAAATGAAAAAAACCTACTGAATGGAAGAAGATATTTGCCAAGGATGCATCCAGTAAGGGGTTAATATCCAAAATATATAAGGAATTCATTCAACTTATCACCTAAAAGCAAATAAACTGATTAAAAATTGAGCAGAGGACCAGAACAGGCATTTCTCCAAAGAAGACATATGAGTGGGCTACAGAAATATGAAAAGATGCTCAACGTCACTAATCTTTAGGGAAATGCAAATCACAACCACAATGAGATATCCCCTCACATCTGTCAGAATGTCTATCATCAATAAGTCAACAAACAAGTATTGTGAAGGATGTGGAGAAAATGGAACTCTCGTGTACCGTTGGTGGGATTGCAAATTGGTGCAGCCACTATGGAAAAGAGTATGGAGATTCCAGAAAAAATTTAAAATTTATCTTATGACCTGGCAATTCCACTTCTGGTTATTTATCCAAAGAAATCCAAAACACTAATTTAAAAAGATATGTTCATCCCTATGTTCATTGCAGCATTATTTACAATAGCCAAGACATGGAATCAACCTAAGTGTCCATCAATAGATGAATGAATAAAGAAGTTGTGGTACATATATACAGGGGAATATTATTCGGACTTAACAAAGAATGAAATCTTAACATTTGTGACAACATGGATGGACCTGGAGGGTATTATTCTAAGTGAAACAAGTCAGACAAAGACAAATACCATATGACTTGACTTATATGTGGAATCTAAAAAACAAAATAAGCAAAACAGAAGCAAACTCGTAGATATAGAGTACAAATTGATGGTTGCCAGGTGGGAGAGGGGTTGGAAGGATGGATGAAAAAGGTGAAAAGGATTAAAATGTGCAAGTTGGCAGTTACAAAATAGTCATGGGGATGTAAAGGACAGCAAGGGAATATAGTCAATAATATTATAATAACTATGGTGTCAGGTGGGTACTAACCTTATTAGGGTGATCGCTTTATAAATTATATGAATGTCTAATCACTGTGTTGGACATCTGAAATGAATAACATAGTGTATATCAACTGTGATTATTAAAAAAAATCACTACTAATATGCCCGGATATTGATTTCTAAATACTATTTCTAGTAAAAGAAACCAGGGCTCCTTGGAGAAGTAGTTTGATTCCAGGGCCAGAGTAAGTAAAACATAAGATGAGCCTAGTATGCCTTATGATGCCAGAAAGTAAGGAAGAGCTAAAAAAAAAAAAAAAAAAGGAGAGACAGCATGTTGAAAGTGTCCAGGAGCCAACCTGGAAGAGCTTACAAGGGTCAGAGTTGGAAGTATGTCAGCAAAAAATGAATAAGGATACTATTGGTTTAAGATGTAAAGTGTAAAATAAGAATCCTTGTGTCCATACTATTAGAATAAGTAAATGGGGAAGAAGGGACAACATTTCCTTAAAGAATTCCAATCGATAAATGTAAAAGGAATAAGGAAAATAGAAAATCTCCCCTAGACCACCACATTAATAATTGTGGCAGACATGCACCACCCATTTGCAATTAGTGGGAGAAGTTTAAGAAGAAACAAGATATTTGCAGACTTAAACTACCTCTCCCCCAAATCAATTAATTACAAAGAGGAAAACAGTAACTTTACAAAGAAGAAATCTGGCAGACACCATCATAACCAAGTGATTAAGGTTCCAGTAACTAGTAATAAGATATTAATGTTATGTGCTCCCTGCTATGCTGCAATGAGAAGGAAACATCCTTTCTGTGGTTTGCTTCCCCAAAATACATAACTTTAATCCAATAACCATTTTCTCTTGTCCAGACCTCTGCGGTGGGAGAGAACCATGCATTCAGGTGCCTGGTGGGCAGTGAAGAGTGGAGTCTAGAAATTGGAGCAGAGGTTTGGACAAGAGAAAACAGTGAGGAGAAGTCCGAATTCATTCAAGTTGAATTTGTCCCTTCAACACTATGATCACCCCCGAATTCTCCTTTCCCTCCTCCCACAGCCTTACATTTTTATATAAACAGCTGTGAACCGATACAGAGATACATACCTCACAGAGGTGACAAACACAGAGGCCATACATCCCACAGGCACATACTCTCACACACCTGCATCCAACCTAGAAAGGGATACACAGAGGAACACACACACACACACACCCAGAAGTCACAGAAGTACACATACACAGCTCCATAGGTCACAGAGATCCATACACATGTACTCACACACATACACATGTCCATGGGTGACAGGTATACAAACCCATACATGTACCCCCCGCCACACACACACGCACGCACACACACACACAAGTAAACCTACAGAGGTCACAAGTGCACAATTTTCTAAAGCAGATGAGGCATGTTTTCTAGTATAGTGTAGTCTTTTCATCTACCAAGCTGATGACCCTCTACTGCTGGGGGCAGCAGACCCACCTGGTCATTGAGACCCCTTCTGCAATTCATTCATGTAAAACAGATTCTGAGAGGACATCTAAAGGCTCCATTGTTTTCCCACACTACTGTACACAGTCCTATTCTAGTCTAGGTAAACCGCTATGAACTGAGAACTCACTAGGAGTAAGTGATCCATCTACCTGCTATTAAAGAAATCCACTGCGGCATTCAATTCTCTTACCAAAAAGCTTCTGCAGAACTTGTCCATCATATAAATCTTCAGCCAGGTCTTTCACAATGATTCTTTCTCCAACCAACACATCATTAATCCAGTCAATTAATACCTAGAGAGAGAATAAGAGTCACAGGGTATGTTCTTAGAGACCAGCGTTCTTATCCTGGACAATTAAAAGCTAAATAAACTTCATATTTTGAAAGCAGCAGAACTATCCATATGACCCAGGCTGTGGACAAGTAGCCTTTAAGTATGAGCCCCAATGGTCCTGAGAATTTTCAGGTATAAGCTCTTCTAGTGCTGGTGGCACTAGTGTCCCTGCTAATATATTCCGGTTCCCTACCAATCCTTACCCTAATGGCAAGCGACATGCACACAGTGTTTGGCTGTGTGGCTTTGTACTGGGCAAGGTATGGGCTTTGGAGTTACACAAACTAGGATTGAAACTCCAGCTTTACCCCTAACTCTGTGTGTGTACCTCCCTCCCCACTCTTCCATTTCCTTTTTCCATCCTTCCATCCATCTGGGCAAGGTATGGGCTTTGGAGTTACACAAACTAGAATTGAAACTCCAGTTTTACCCCTAACTCTGTGTGTGTACCTCCCTCCCCTCTCTTCCTCCATTTCCTTTGTCCATCCTTCCATCCATTACCCATCCATTCACCCAGCATTATTAATACCTGCTACATGTCACACTCTGTGCTGGATCCTGGGGGTACAATTATGAAAGAGGCAGTCTAACTCCTATAAACTCACTGTTTAGAAAAGACAGAATTATCATGGGGTAACTAAATGACAGAACCAAATGCAGGGACCAAGGCAGCACACAGAGGGGCTGAGCAATAGCACTGGGGTTTATAGAAAGCTCCTTGGAAGACGTGACCCCATTTGACCCCACTCTGAAGAGTGGTTGGAAGGACCCACATAAGTAAAGGCACAGCAGTGAGAAGTGGCAGAAGCAAGCACAGTGTGTATGGGGAGACACCACAAGCAGGTCTGGTGTCCACATGTTGCTAGGCAGGGGATAATCTGAGGTTGAAGAGGCAGCTAGAGCATGGAGACCCCAGATACCACCCCCAGGAGTGTGGGCTTCAACCTGCAGTTGATGGGAAACTGCACCTAAATTTGGAATGGGAAAATGACATATTCGGATTTGCATTTTGAATGAACCACTCTGGCATCCACAGTACCTTTTTGTCTTAAGTGGAGCTTGGAGAAGTTGAAAAACATGGGATGAAGAAATAGAAGGGGGATGAAATAACACTTTTTGAGGGGTGACCACATGCCAACCCCTGTGCCAGGTGCATTATGCACAATATTTCATTTAATCTCATTTATTTCTTTTTGAATTCCATCTCCTCTACTCAGCTGTGACCAAAAACAAACCAGTTAACTTTTCTGAGACTTAGTTTTGTCATCTGTAAAATGGGAATGATACCGATTCTTACTTTACAGGGAGTTTTTGAGGGTCCTTGAGAAAAGCAGTGAAAGGGACTGTGTGACCCTAGCAAATGTGAGCTTATTTGCACAAACTTCTCTGATGCTTATGATCAACATAACTGGTTAGGCATTTGTCATGTCCCACTTTTGTTAAATTTTAGATGTCCATCTACTGGACCTTGAGCTGCCTGCAGGCAGGGACTGTCATGACTTTATTCTCTGCAGTGCCTTGTGTGGTGCCTGTACAGAGCAGGTGGTCTATAGACACTTGTTGAGTCTGGGAAGCACCGGAAGCCCCTCCTAATTTCTTCTTACCTTCATCAGTTCTTGAAGTTTGGGGTCGCTGCGTGAGTTTGGATCCACCATCGTTCGCACTTCATTCTCCTCTTTAAAAAGAAAAGGAGGTCAGTGGGGGTGGTTCCACTCGACGGCATCAGGCCACCCCAAAGAACAAGAGGCCCACATACCCAGCATCGTGTCCTCAGGGTCCAGCTCAAAAGGGATCGGGCTGAGAGGCAGGTTGATGGCGTTCATGCCCTCCTCCTGAAGCTCTGACACTGCAAGGAGAAGGAAGCACAGTCACCTGACAGCAGGTAAGTGGCTCTCTAACAAATATGTTCTATACTGATACTGAGAAATAAAACCATGAAGGTTCGGTTTCAGCTGTGGCTTTGCCTGCAATTGATTCTCTACCTCTTCTTGCTAAAAGGACCAAACTGTCCCTTTCATCTCACCTTTTCCAACTATCACCGCATTCCCTCGGAGAAAACGGGAGATGTCTTCCTTCTCTCAGAAATGATCTCAGAATAAGTGGAAGTGAGGTGGACATTGACATCTTTCCTAAGTCTGCTTTTTGCCTCCTTGCTTGCTTTCTGGTCACGGCTGTTGACTGGATGAATGAGGTCACCACGTTAAGGCTACATTTATGTTGTAAGTCATCTCCATTCTCGGTTCAAGCCTTCTGTGACCTCTCTCCTGATTTGGCTTCCCTGAGGATTTTCTGATTATACTACCTCCCTCTTTCACCCCACCCCAGCCACAGCTTGAGAATGTCTCAGTCTGGCCTCTTCCCTGGGCTCTGGTCCCGTCCCTTCGGTCGTAATGAGCTGTGGGCCCCGGGGGTGGGCACCTTGCCTCTCTAGACCTGTTTCCTCAGCTGAACACAAAGAGCTCAACTGGATGACCAGCAAGTTCTTTTGTAGTTTCCAAAGCCTAGAAACCTACAATGCTACTTTCCTCAAGAAAAATAAAAATAGGTCAATGACCACTAAAGACTCCCAGCCTGATCCCTTCCCTGCACCCATCTCTCACATGAAGCATTAAAAAAAAAAAAAAATCCTACCACAAAATCAGAAGACTAGTTGTGCGATAGACACTGCTGAGTACTGACCTTGGATTACCTCTCCGAAAAGCAGTGACTTAAATCCTCTCACCTCTATTCAATTCTAGTTTGGATAATTACTTTTCACCAACTAAGCATAAAAAGACCATTTTCTCTGAAAGCGTTGGTCAGAAAAAGGTTCTTAAAGAGCTACCATGGCAGCTGCAATCAACCTTAATAGAAACAATGTCCCATCTTTCCATTTTATTCTATTTTTTATTGACTCTGGCCTCACCGATTGCCAGTATATACTTGCAAGAACTCTTAAGCACAAGGCAGCTGCTTACAAAGAGTTCTTTCATATTAGCAAACTCACTGATGGTTGCAGTTGGATGGAGAACGAGATTGCCTAACAAAGAGTGAAACACAGTCTACCCCAAAGAGACACAACTCGCATTATGAAGCTGGCATTTAGTCCCGTGGCTGTGGGCCCTTGACATTCATATGGCAGATCAGCCAGTCACCGTCTTGAATCTCCAAGTTCACAAACACCGACCACTCTATATAATTCTCCCTCATAAAACATAATGAAAAATATAAGCAATACCTTCAAGGCTTAAATGATTCTATAAGTATAGGGCTGCATTTGTTTTCTAGCAAAGAACTGATTCCTTAGACTTCTGTAATTTCTTCTAATATTCCTCGTAGGACTGGCAGCTTCTTTTCCAGGCTGTTTCTCACCAAGAAGCAAGATTTCCATTACTTAACAAGCACTGCTGTGCAAACAATGGGCAGTGGAAATAAGGTTACGCTTAAAGGTGGGTGCAGGCTGGTCTTACTGGATAGAGAATAAATTAGCTGCAGACCAGGACCTTCTCTATCTGCATTCTCCCCCAGGTCTGTGCTGTCTAAGATGATAGCCATTAGCCATATCCGGCTATTTCAACTTAAATGAATTAAAAATTCAATTTCTTAGTTGTACCTATCACATTTCAATTGCTCAATGGCACACATGTAGCTAGTGGCTACCATACTAGATAGCACAGATGTAGAAGGTTTCCACCATCACAGGAAATTCAACTGAATGGTGCTGTCCTAGGTGAGCTCATATATCTAAAGGCTGATGTTCACATTTAAATCTCCAGCCTAGACTTGATCCTGAGCTTCAGGCTTACTCGATGTCTCCTCTCATGTCTACTAATAGAGGTTTTAAATTTACACGTCCAACACAGAACTCATGATTTTCAATACCCTTACTCCCACCATAACAACAATGATACAAGACTGTTCTTCCCCTGTTCTTATCCTCCTTAATAAATGGCCCCACCATGTATACAGTGGTTTAAGACAAAATCCGAGGAATCATCTTTAACTTTTTTTTTCTCATCTTTTGTAGCCAATGCATAGGTAAGTTCTGTGAGCTCCATCTCCAAACCAGGACCCAATTCCAACCACTTCTTACTACTTCTACCACTACTACTACTTCAGCCTGGTTCAGGTCATCTTTCACCTGGACAACCAGAGCTACCTTCTAACCTATCTGCTTTCTGATGCATATTCCCTACCTCTGTCTACTTTGTATAGCAAATCAGAACGATATATAAAGACATAAATAGGATCATACATTCTCATGCTTTAAGACTTCCCGTGGCTTCTCATCACACTCAAAATAAAACCCCAGCTCCTAAGACCTATAAGACTCTCTGATTAGCTTCCTGTCTCCCTCTCATTTTATTTTCTTCAAGCACTCATGATCTGAAATTATTATTTACATGTCTATTATCTATCTCCCCCCACCAGGAAATAAGCTGTGGGAAGAGTGGCCCTTTTTCTCTTATTTACTATTAGATCCCCAAAGAGGAGCCAGACTTCCTAGCTTCAAATCCAGAATCACTAGCTATATGATCTTGGGCAAGTTCAGCAGCCCCTTATACCTCAGTTTCCTTATCTGCAAAATGAGAATGATAATATTGCCTACTTCCTAGGGTTGTTAAGAAGATTAAATGAGTTAATACTTGTAACACGCTTAGAAGAGTCCCTGGTGCCTGGTAAGAGCTATGTAAATGTATGCTATTATTATTAATTAAAACACTACCTCATGCACAGTAAGCACTTAAGAACTATTTGTTAAATAAATGAATAATCAAAACTGTTCAGATCATCCTTCAATAGCACAAATTACGAGTTGAAGCACAATTTGCCAAAGCAGTACATAGAGTGCAAAGAAGGATTTCAGCTTGTCCTCAGGAAAAAAATTATATTTTGGCCTGACCCTGTGTATATGTGTGTGTGTGCACATGTGCGCATGTGTACCTTTCGGAGGCAACATTTTCAGCTTATGTTTTGTAAGGAGAGAAAAGCCGCATCTCTCCCAAGACTGTTGTACAGCCAGAGCCAACTTGTGACTATAGAAATATTTACACCTCTAACATGTGACTAGAAATGCAATCTTCACAGCCAGGACTCCTAAAGGCAGGTCTGAAAGGGATCTTTTTTTAACGTGAAGATCATTGTTAAAAATGTTTTCAGATGAAAAACCCCCAATCAGAAACACTCCCCTCTGCCCAGCCTCTTTAATTCACTCAGAGAGACAAAACAAACCCGAAAAGAAAAGCTGAGATGTGTTTGCAACTGGAAATGTTTTTTGCAGGAAATGATTTGGTACAGGAACATCATTCCTGTCCCATTAACTGCTGACTCGGAGCCAACTGTTTGTAAAAGTGAATATGCAAACTGCCCAGTTCAGGCCTGGCCCCTGCCCCATGAGGCCGCATTAGTGGCCACTTTCCCAAAACAGCCCGCCTGCTTTGGAGGTTTCATTTCTATTAAACCAAAGCAGGAGCCAGCAGAAGCCCCTCACCAATCCTGCACTCTGAAAAAGAAAGAGCTGCAATTGAATTTTCTCGGCATAGAATATAAATATGATGTTTATCCCTCGAACCTCCTCTAACAATCTAAAACTAGGTCTGAATGTGCAGCCTTTGGTGTCTCGCAGTGCCATTAGTCATAACTTAATAAACAGATTAAATGCCCAGCTGAAGGTCGGCTTGGGAAAGCAGGGTGATTGCCTTAACTCCTGAAGCGCTCGCCATGAGAAACGGGGCTTTGGCTTTTTTTGGAAAATGAAGTCTGGCTCTGAGTCCAGCTGTGCAGCAGAAAAAGTACATGGATGGGCTTTGGAGTTTGAAGGGGCTGGATTTAAATCCTTCAATTTTTATCAGCTGTGGGACCTTATATGAGTGACTTAACCTGAAATTCAGTATAAAATAATTCTCTATGAAAAAAGGATGGATATAGCTGACACTGAGGGTTTCCTCCCCAATATTTATTTTACTCTTTTTCCCTGCTGTAAGAATCATCATTTTGTTCCAGTGTATATCCCTCCCTCCTTTGCCTCTATGTGAGATGCTGATTGGTTTAAGCTAATCATGATAATCTCAACTTCTTTAGCAGTGATTGGCTCAAGCATTGTCATATGATACAGTTCTCACCAATGAGCTGTGAAGGGAAAGTTTTAGACGCTTCTAGAAGTTTTCCTCCATTTTAAAGAGAGGCCCATGAATGAGAACAAATCTTTCTCCTTCTAACCATTATTGTATCAGGATGTTATGCCTGGATTTGCTGCAGCCATTTTGTAGCCATGGGGTGAATCAGCCCAAAGAAAAAGCTAATATATAAAGTTGGCAGAAAAGAAAGAAAGGAGGAGGTTCTTGCTGATACTGTTAAGCCACCATCCCTAAAGCCACCCTAGCTTGATATGTCTTGTTACAAGAGATATATTAATTTCTCTTATTGTTTAAGCCAGTTGAGTTGGCATTTTCTGGGATTTGGATTCTGAACTCCCCAAATGATACAGTGGACACCAGGATTATAAAGTTCATGGATGAATACAGTAGATCTGTAATGAATGATAATTTTCCTTTTTTCCCATGAGAAACAGAATAGCTGCAGGCATCTCTTACATTCCAGAAATAGGTATAAGGACTCGAACACCAGGCAGAAAACAAGTACGGAGGGAAGAACGGACAGAGGATTCTAAGAGTGTAAAAGGGTCCATTTATGCAAGGCCAGTAATTTCATTCATTCAACCAATAAACATTACTGGGCATCCTCCTCTGAAGCAGACCTTGTGCCAGCATGGGAGATAAGGCTGTGGAGATTGGACATGGGTCTCCCTCAATCTGCTCATAGGTGAGTGAGGCAGGCACATAAACACAACATGCAGTATGCTGCACTCAGTAGTGAGTGACATGCAACTGGAGGGCCGTGGGG